TAGGGAGTGAAGAGGCGGGCAACTGCACTCAACTTTATGCTCCAAGAACTCGCAGAAATGCGAACAATTCCCGTTATTCAACTCGCATCCATTCACTTCCGAGCAATGTGTGGAGTTTGCCAAAACATACCCTGGAACTCAGAGCTGAAGTTTGGAAATATTAGAAGCAAATGAGGGCAAACCTTCAGGACAACTACATAAAGCTTTATCATTTGCATTTAAGCAGATGTGGGAACAACCTCCGTTCTCGTCTACACATGGATCCACTTTGTAGCATTGGAGGCCTTCCAGGACTTGTCCTTCTGGACATTTGCAAACTGCAACTCCTTCTTCATTGGAGCATTCGTGCGAACATCCACCGTTCTTAACCAGACATGGATTGTCTTTGATGCAGGTTCTGTTGTCGGTTGATAAGTGATGGTTTTCTTTGCATCTACATCGGAATGATTAACGATGGTTTTACTGTTGAAACCCTGTTTTTTCGGTGTTAATAGTGGAAGGAAGAAATGAAAGCTGTAGATGCATGTAAGAAATTTTGTAGTTTTTACCATTTATTTTGAAATTTACATCTTGAAGAAGTTTTCCGGTTTTCGGAAGATGTTGATGGCAAAGGGTTTGGGGTTTTCTTAAAATATCTAAAACTGCTTTGAAAAGATGAAAAATCCTGAAGAATTCCAACAGGTTTGTTGTTCTTAAGGCGAGGCAATAAGCCTGGGACAAGTTGGCGCAGTGCGACGCAAATGGTACGCCCACCCAATGCACCGGCGCAGTAACTCAGTTCCGTTGCTGGCAAAATGTGGATAACTTTTTCTATTTGTTTTTAGATTTATCCAAGGGTCATTTATTAATAATATTTTTAAATTTTTTTCAAAATTTCAAAATTTTCCAGTTTTTAATCAAGTTATTATTTCTTCTAAATGCTCAATTTTCTAAAGTTTCACTTAAAAATGCTGACAAACTTAAGGTATTTTGAGTGAAAAAATATGAAATTAATTTCGAATCCTTGGTCCCTTTGCAAAAGTTTTGAAATCCCTTTCTATCGTCGAATTTGGAACAAAAATAAAATAATTTTCTATCAAAAAACGAACAGAATAAGTGAAAATAACAGATTATTTGGAAATCTCGTCACCTCCATTCCTCGGAGACAGTAGAGTTTGTTAAAAAATGTAGGATTTTAGTTTTGACTGATTTTTTTGCTTTACTTTCTACTTAAAAACGCTCAATTTTGTAGAGTTTCCCTTAAAAATACTGACGATCTGGAGGTCTTTTACCCGAAAAATTACAAGATAAATTCATAGCTTTGTAAAAATTTTACAAAAACTGTTTTGAGCGTCGAATTCGAGACAAAAACGAAAACAAGTGCCTCAAGTTTTTCCCCGAAAACCATTAAGGTTTTCTCCAAAACCGATCACAAAACTAAACGTTTTTAATCGAGAACGCAAAAAACAATATTTTCTGATGATTTCCTACTTTTATGATAATAATTGGGTATTTTCAGCCAAAAATTACAAAATTAATATTTGTTTAACCCTTTTGCTAGAAAATTCCTCATTTTCCTCCTTGCCTTATTCATCGGTTTGCAGGAAACTTTAGAAAACCCTTTTCAGCATCGAATTTGGTACAAAAACTAAATAATTTTATTCAGTTTTTTACCGATAGAAATTAAGATTATCTGGAAAAAACGATCAGAGAGCAAAAGTTTACAAAAAATTATTTGGAAAATTCGCTCTGAAGATTTTTAAAGTTCCTTAAAATTTTCAGATCATCCCAGTTTTAACAAAGTTTCTATTAAGCTAGCTATTTTTTCTTGGCAAAAATTGCATTATTTTTTAGTTAACATTCTGACACTCTTCAGGTATTTTCTGTGAAAAGTTATAAGATACATTTTATTGCAAAACTCGCCCCCTTAACCGCTTTGCAAACATTTCTGGAAAACTTGTTGCAGCTTTGAATTATGGACAAAACCCTAATAATTAATTCTGGGTGTTTTCCCAAAAATATTTCCCCGAACTGAAAAAGCCACAGTTTATAATCATTTATTTGGAAAAATGGGAACATCTAGATAAGTTCTTTTAGCTGTTTGAACAAAGTAGTAAAAGGTTACTCAGAAAAAATGTTGATAACCGTTTTTTTGAGATGTAAAAATTTCAGTCTCGGGTCTCCTAAGGCATTAATTTATAACGTATAACTCATTAACCGTTGAGTTATGACTCGTTAACTCAGAGAACGGCAACAACTCAATAGCGCAACTTAACACAGTGTTACCAAGGCCAAGGAAATTGTTTAAAATGCTATGAAATATCATGAAGAAAACAACAGCACTTATTGCTCTTCAACATATTTATCCACATTTTGGTAAATGCGTTTTTGAAGAAAAACCAGTTGGAAGCTTCCCAGCGCTACGCTCTGAACTGTTCTTGTTTCTTTGAAATTTCAAAAAATATTTTTACTTAAGCGTTAAGAAATTCAAAGAAGCTAACTGAAGATATTGCTCTCCTTCAAAAGTAATCATCTATTTCCAGGATGTTTTGATAAGCAAATAAGTTCCAAACGGTACTTGTTTGAAGCGTGCTTTTAAACCTCTTTTCATATACAGGGTTATTCACGCTATACGACACGGACGTTTGCGGCTAGCCCGTTTGTTTTTTGCAAAGTATTATTTCATGAATCCACAGACGTTTGTCGGGTGCACATTTTAAAAATATTTTTGTAATG